GGTTCTAATTAGAATAACTTTTGATGTTTAAATTGTGCAACTGCCAATATGATCATACAACACCACCTATTTGTTATATATATACTTCAGGCTTCACATAGCCATGTGTATACGCGTACTGCGTGACGCGCTACTGCAAGCGAGAGCAGAGAGGGCAACTTCAGGCTATAAAAAATGATAACCAGTTCCTTCAGGCGCTGATAACATTAAGTTAAGTAATATAACACTGCAGCTTCATCTAATGAAATGTCACGTTACTCGTCACGTTACTTAGCCTGCCATTCAGAACGATCTCTGGCGGGTCATGTGAAGCGCACGTGACTCATAAGAATATCATGTCCCTACAGGAATAATGTGCAATCAGAGAGAGTGACTCTTGAATCGTGTTTAGTTCACTCTGACCCATTTCTTTTTCTTGAGACCTAGTAAGCTTACACTAAACCCAACCTGATTTGTTAACTTATTTATATCTTGACTTTTGAAACAAGCGCGCCCGAAGTGGCGCGAAAGCACATGGTTAGGTAAATCGCCAGCCAGTAAGGTCTGCTAGCTGGGTATGTGGTATGGGGTATGAACCGCCGCGCACGACTGCGCGCAGCGCGGCTCCCCCTGTATCGTGTATAGTGAAACGACCGTGGGGGTCACGATATGGTAGAATGTTTTCTAGAGACTGTGAGAATTTTCATTACTGGGCCGCGCTCAGCCTGTCATTCCGCCGAATCTCTATGTTAATGAACATAATAGCCTCAGGTCCCCAGGTAAAATTTTTACAGTACCAAATCTGTCATACCTTTTTGGAATGATCAGTGGGTTTCGTCTATGTGCCATATTTGATGGTGCGCGGCTTTTGGAGCAAAAGTGAAATGTAGGTGTAAACTTTATCTGAGGACCCCAGGCTTTAATGTTGATAAACAACCGAAAAGAGATTAGGCGGAATGACAGGCTGAGCGCGGCCCAGTAACAAGTAAGTGTAAACTATTAAAGGCGCGTAATTTGACGAAATTCGTTGATTTTTGTCGTATCATTTTGTTACATCTTCAGTTCCTTAAATCAGATCATGCTGAAAATTTGTCAGAACCTTCTAATCATACTTAACTACAGAACCTAAATTAAATGGGAGAGATTGGTCTTGATTAAGAGGTCTAAAAATGACAAAATAAGTATAAATTCGTTGTCATACGTTGTATGACCCGCCGCGCACGAAGTGCACGGCTCCCCTTGTATCGTCGAAGACGATACTTGATACTATAGTGAAGCGACAGTGGGGGTCACCACGTGATACAATAAATTCGTTGATAACTCAAATTCTGAGCATCGAAATTGCTCAAACTAATTTAAGTTTAATAAAACGTAAGTGTTTACATAAGCTGACCAAATTTCAACAAAATTTTTATATGGGAAGTATTTGATACATGTTTCGTATCCGATACATGTTTCGTATCTGATACATGTTTCGTATCCGCGGCGGCGCGCGCTTCGCGCGCGAAAAGTGGCATGCAACGTATGTCAAGGAAGTATTATAACTTTTTGATTGTTTCCGAAATAATGTGCTGGCCGAAAAAAACATTCAATGTGCAATGGTCAGCGCGCGCGTCTTACGGTCGATGGCGCACGGCCTAATACATAATATCAGGAATTTGAGAAATGATAAAATAATACGACAAAAATCAACTAATTTTGTCAAATTACACGATTTTTACATTTACTGAAGTTCCAATTATAGCCGCGAATCATCAAATATGGTATCCAGGCGAAATTCATTCATTATTCCAAAAAGGTATGACAAGGTATTGGTCACAGCATGCAGGAGAAAAGTCCAAAGACCAAAGTGCAAAGAAACTGCCACTAACTGCTACTATAGTTATAACTGCCACTAACTGCCACTAAGTCTAACTCATTAATTGACGATGTCAATTCATGGCAGCTCGGCGCGGCACAGTAGCGCATCGCGCTACAATCTAACTCATAACTGCTACTAACTGCTGCTTGTAGCGCGATGCGTTACTGTGCCGCGCCGCGCACTCGATGAGGCTTCTCACAGGCTAGATCGGCGAGATACGCTACTGTGCCGCGCCGAGCTGCCATGAATTGACATCGTCAATTAAACTGCTGCAATCGCAAGCCGTTTGCAGCAGTTTGTGGCAGTTTCTTTGCACTAAGTCTATGAGTAAGCTGACCAATTTTTGTTAAAATTGGATTAAGGGAAGGTTACTACAGTGTACGAGAAGGGGCCTTACGAAGAAAATATATGCTTTTTTAAAAACATATATACTTTAAAAAAAACATATATACTTTTAAAAAAAACATATATACTTTTTCAAAAAACATATATACTTTTTCAAAGAACATATGTTTTTTGGAACGTATATACAATATATTTGCGGAAAAACATACATTTTTCGTAAGGCACCTTCTCGTACACGTGATGTTCGAGAAGGGGCCTTATAGTAGAGGCTCTTACGGGCAAAAAGACGTGTTTTCTGCTACGAGTTTAGAAACCTAACCGCTAATTGGACACAATAGTATGATGTCTAAGGATCGATAATATGTTAACACCCTACGCGCGTGGGGTGGACTCCTGGGGTGGACCTTAATTCAGCGCGTATTTTGTAGCCTGTTCAACTTGACGTTTTGAATCGTTACTATCTCACTGTCACAGATACACGTAATGTGAGGTGATCATCTTAAAGAGAAACGTCTCAGCTTTCACCTGGTGTAAAGTTTATATTTGTACTCAAAATATAGCTCGCTCAGTGTGACTGTGCAATAGAAGTTGACAATACAATAACCACGTCCGCGACCAGTCGTCAGATACCGGAGTGTTGCACAAAATTGGGTCCCTAAATTAAAATTCTATGACACAGTTACCATGCAGAAATGTCTGGAGTAACATTTGGTGAAAATTTGAAGGGTCTACTGTTAATATTGCAAAAGTTATTGAAAACAAACTAGCTTATTCAGAAGTTTTTGGGAAAATTTCAAATTTGTACGTAGTGGGGTCTACTGGGGTGGACTCTCGTGACGCGCATCTGATGGCGTGGCTTTTTCAACAGCAGTCAGTACGGCCAATATCAGAGCACAAATTATTGTGAGTAAGACCTTAATGGTCAGCTATGAACCCCTCACTAGAATAGTAACCGTATCTAAAAACAAGGAAATGTTATTCCGTCAAAGCTCAAATTTTTTACTCTTCTCAGTGCAGTTACTATGAATGTACTAGCTAAGTATCGTTGATCGTAGCTGTTTGTTTGTTTGGGGACCAGCTTTTGGTACACTGGTTAATGTTTACTATAATATTGAAATATTACATTAGAATTAGATAAATAAATAGAAAGATAGAACATACCACTATAATCAAAAAATTGAAACACTGTACCGTAGCACACAACACAAAAAGTTAAACTACTGGCAAAGTGTCCTCAGAAAAATAAAAAACCCTAAATATACCTAGCCTTGGTGAGACCTGCTTCGCGATTGCTATTCAGCGATGTGTGCTCCACAAGTCATCACATACCTGAGTTACAATCACGGTTGCAGTTTTTTAACTCACAATTAAAAGTTCCTCGTTATTAGCCGTAATCAACAAATACACGCAACAGCCATAAATAAGAGCCATACACACATTTAAATCAAAGTAATTATGTAGATATCCAAAACACCGAATGTTACAACTTAACCTTATCTACACTGAAAATCTTGCCGTCTCTAATATAATGATACTTTGTTGGCTCATCAGTGATCATTTCCTTTACTTTGACAACAAGTTTCTGATGAGCTGCTCTCTCCTCCCTGCTTCTGTCATGGTGATGTACCATGTGTGGTACGCTGTACATTTAGATTTCTTCAGATTTCTTGCTCGAGCAAGAACCATTTTTACTGATTCCGCGCAAGCCAATGTCACTTTTATTGGTCTCGGTTTACCACTGCCTGAAGTTGTTTTAGTCCCGATAGAATTTGCTGCCACAACTTTAGGATCACACCCTGAGGATTCCCAAATCAATTCGATCACTTCTTCTGCCACTAAGTGTGGATCAGGGGAATAATTCTCCGGTACATCGTAGAACTAGATAATGAAATTCTTACTACGGATGTCGTCTTCAACTACGGTTTTCACAGCTGTTTTTATACTGTTGATCGACGGAGTACTTGTAGTTGTCTCGCAGTTCTTCTTCACGATATCGCTCCACGCTGTCTTCATCTCGGTATGAACAGTTGTTTTAAAAGAGTCGAGTTGCTCCTGTTGCTGTTTAATCTGGTCTTTCTGATAGTTCAGCTGATCTGATTTCAGTTTGTCTATCGTACTGGCTGCACATTTACAAAGTTCAAGATTACTAGTCATTAGCTTAGAAAGATTTTCAACTGCAGTAGCCAAGGGATCTTTATTTACAGCCATTAATCTCGCATGATTCAGTTCTGTAACGCTTTGTGCTTTTGACATCTTCAAAATCTCATTCATCGCTGACGATAGCTCCTTTTCAAATCTGTTCAGATGTTCGACGGAAAAATCCATTTTACAAAAGCCAAGGCGTACAGCACGACGTGTCGGTGTAACATCAAGTTGAGATAACACTACCGATAAGAGAGCAATTAAAATGTTGCAAAAGCTAGAATAAAAGATTGTAACTGAGAATAAAAGATTGTAACTGGAGCTGCATTACACAGTAGAAGGTAACCAAGGAAGACTGCTGATTAACGAAGCAATTTCAACGTGAACAGTTCCAAAATACATAATCATGGCGACGATAGTTCAACTTGAACCTTTATAGTTTTTACAGTCTAAGATCACAATAAAATCACGTGAACTGCGAATCACAAAATCAAATCACTCAAATCTGATACAGTCCCGTTACAGTACGCTTTCGTGACAACCTCAACGCTTAAAAAAATAAATATTCTGCAGTCTTGTGACCACCGATGGCCCTAACTCTCCCTTGTCCGCGAGAAGCATCGTTGCGACCATGGGTTTCAGTTCTTTGTTCTTCCCACTCGGCTTCGGTAGATCGAATTGGCTGGAAGTCAATCTATCAGAAAGACCTTTGTCGATCTCAGGGGCGTGGTAAATTGTGGATGTCGGAGTATAAAGCTTCCTGAAAAGATTGAGACATTCACTCGGTCTGTTGTAAATATGGAATAGTCCTTGTAGGCCGAGATTTAATTTATGTTGGGTTTGATAACTAGAGAAGGCGATTTGATATTCATTGATAGTCAGTATTGAGTAATCATCACTCAAAATCTACTTATTAAATTTATTAACTAAACAAGTTAATGTATTACCGTCCTAGAGAGGTTTTCCTGAGAATTTGAAGTCTCTGTAGGTTGCTGACATGTCTACTAAGCTCTTCGATTGAGGAGTTTTGGACCCCTCGGCGGTCCAAATGATTTATAATGCTGTGGGCATTTTCAACATCTATCGAGCTAAACGCCCTCGCAGCATAACCTGTAGAGAATGAACATGTCATCAATGCAAAGTTCAATGATAAAAATCAGAGTGGCCGATTTCAACGGGCAGAATTCGAATATCATGGCCTTGGGGAATGGACTATTTTTTGTCGATTTTACTAACCAAACTGGCAAACGATTGTTGATTTTCGTCACTAGTCTAAAATGAAAGCAAACGTTCGGCCGAACATTTACATGATTAAAAACTTACCGGTTTCTTTCGTTATTATGTACAGACATAGCCGGGCTTGGGTTCCGCATACGATATCTTCTATCAGATTAAAGTTGAATCCACACTTTGTACTGCTCGTGGGAGGAGAAAAGCAAACTGATACCTTTTCCATGAGCATCTCGTGTAGTACCATCATCATTTCGATTCTGATATCAGCTGCAAAATTCGTCTATTACTAAATGCTAGCTTTTCGAACTTCGTATCTTGGAAATAACAACTTCTATGAAAGAACACACACACACACACACACACACACACACACACACACACACACACACACACACACACACACACACACACACACACACACACACACACACACACACACACACACACACACACACACACACACACACACACACACACACACACACACACACACACACACACACACACACACACACACACACACACACACACACACACACACACACACACACACACACACACACACACACACACACACACACACACACACACACACACACACACACACACACACACACACACACACACACACACACACACACACACACACACACACACACACACACACACACACACACACACACACACACACACACACACACACACACACACACACACACACACACACACACACACACACACATACACACACACACACACACACACACACACACACACAGACGCACAGAGACACACTCACACACACACACACAGACGCACAGAGACACACACTCACTCACACACACACACACAGACAGACAGACACACAGACAGACAGACAGACAGACAGACAGACAGACAGACAGACAGACAGATACACACACCCACAAACACATACAGACATAGACACACAGACACAGCATAAACACAGACACACACAGACACAGACGGACACACAGACAGACACAGATACACACAGACATACACACACACCCACAAACACACCCACAAACACACACAGACACATACACACACAGACACATACACACACAGACACATACACACACAGACACACACACATAAACACACATAGTTCACTTCAGTACACTACATTACAATTACAGACACACGCAGTACAATCAGAGACACACACTCGATACAAAGACAGACACAGGCACAAACACACAGAGTACACTTCAGTACAATCACAGAAAAAGGCACAAAGACATATACAAGAAGAGCAGATTGAAGTACCTTCATTTGCAGATGTTGACGCATTGATCTGTGGGATATGTTCTTCAGTCTGTAACTGATCATCTGCTAGAACTGTCTCATCTGGATCAACCGGAGGAGTATCTTCCGGCAGGAGTCTGAGTGGGTCTATCGGGACAGCCATGGATCGCTCTCCGTACCTTGCTGAAATAAAGACAAAGGTCAACGACGGATGTCGCATGTCAGTCGTGTAACTAAATGTAATGCAAAATAGTGAATAAATAATTTTTACATCTGAACGATTGTTCATTGATTCTTTGAATCTGTTCATTGATTCAAAGAATCAATGACCAAAAGTTCAAGATTTTACCTTCTGTTAAGCTGTTAGCACTGACTCTAGCCCCCTCTCCCTACAAAACGACCATATCTCGGGCTGGAGCTTTCAACCGTCTTGCCTCAGCAGCCATCTAGCACAGTCGACCTGTCCTGTTAATTATGTGATCATCAAGTTACCAAATTTAATCCTTCAATATTCAAATAATTGATTATCAGACAAAACAGAGTTTAGAGCTCGACGTATGCTTCAGGGTTTCACACTGTGCTGTAATCAAACGCATGACTAAAACCTCTTGCTACTATTACCAATGTTAGATAAACCCATATTGTTAAGGCGGTCAAATGATTTACCTGAGTTGATCGCGTCCATGAAAGGGTTCAACAGCGCTCTGTCCAGCTTGTTAATGTCCGCTCCAGCAGCCAGCAGTGCCTCCGCCTCCGTCACTCTCCCTGCTTTGCATGGCCAGTGAAGCGTAGAGCTCCTCTCTAAGCTCTGTGACGATCCGACGAAGGATCCAGATTCCCTTCTTTTCTCTTGAGATTGCTTCAATTCTTCCTGGAGTATGCGGATTACCATTTTTATACTTCCATATAGGGCGCGTGAACAATCAGCAATGAATTATCAATTAATCAATCTAGTTTTTGAGTAAAAAGTCCACAGATTGTGATACATTGGATTTGATATTGGAAAAGACATGGCTTACCAAGTACCTTTTCATGTGCTTTTTGGAGGACAGGGATGACTTATTCCTGCGTGCCATTTCACCATAACTATCTGCTGTAACAGCAAAAATTAGAATTATGTCGGACATAATTCTAAAAAATTGGAACATTGTAGTTAATCAGTGTGGTGCTAACAACAGAGAGCGATTTGAACGGTAGGCAATTTCATAAATTTCATTAACTCGATATAAGGATGATTGGAACAGGCTAAAATCTACAATGTGGCATTAATAACTGGCTATATCGCTGCATTAAACGATTAAAGTATTGCTAACTATGGATATTCTAAGTGATCTAGGCAGAGGGGAACCGGCACAGCCAGATTGCGTTGTCTTCACTTTCAGTGACTAAGTTTCACGATAGAAAAATTGACCTTATGTATTTAAAAAAAAGGATGCACAGTTCAAGCAATAAATCGATCGGCTGCTCATATGATATTTGCATTTATCAAGAGTTTAAATTCCCAAATAGTCAGACTGAGCAGGTTGAGCTGTAGTAAAACACAGTACTGAGGTGTTAAAACATTTTCATTACTATCTTCAGTAACATCCTGAATCAGAAACTCGGTTAATATCAGTTCCTACAAAGTGTAACATTGGAATTGAAATGACACAACTAAAAACGATATGAATATTTTTAAAAACATAACTCTTGTGCCCCAATGCAATGGAAAACCTTTAAGATAAATCCAATAATGGAATCCCAAACGGGTCCACGGCATTGAGCCCCAATGGACGTATAGTTCTCAGTTTCTGAATATAACGGTGTTCATCCACTTCGAGAGTTCTTGGGCTACTATTACTGAGAATTGACACTTTATAAGCCTGGTTGAAATTGTCACGTTGTTTCATGTTATGAACTTCTACAAGGTGTTTACCCAAGCTGAATCCGTCGTCGTTTTCTTCAGGGACAAACGTATTGTCCGAAATGAGTTTGTAGTAATGGGCGCGATGTTCGTTTACTCGTGCCCTTAGGGGCTGCACCGTTCTTCCTACATAACACATATTACAAAGTTGGCAACTGAAGATGTATACAACATTGTAGCTGACACATGTACCAGACACTGCTTTGGCTCGCTGTCCGTTGACTGTTATTGATGGATGTGGAGATATGATGTTACAGGTACCGCAGTGTCTGCCCCCACATGGTCTTGTGTGAGGTTGGGTTAAGTCATCCGCAAACTGTTTTGCTTTGACTAACTTCCTTCTAAATGATGTTCCAGTACGTCTGACGAATTTGAAGATAGGGCGTGATGTACCGGCTCTAGATGATATTGGGGAGCCTGGGGTGTTTCCACTTGTATGGGAACCAGATAATCCTGAGAAGCTCCTGGTTCTACTGAGCTCTGGTTCCAATCTTTTTACCGATTCTACTAACTCTTGATCGCTACCAAATGTTGAAATAACGCGGACTGCTGGTTCTGGAGACTTTGGGACCAGGACATTGCTGTTTGAGTTGTCCAGTGGTTTGAGGCATCTTTCAAAGCCTTTGACTTTTTCACTGATGTTATCTACCATAGTTTTAGGGTAGTTGGATTGGAAGAAAAAGGTTTTTAATTCATCAATTTTTAATTCATCAATTTGTTTTCGGAGTCTGTCGTTATCATTTAAAGGAGGGTCCAGTGCAGTGACCAGTAAGTCTGTTAAAGGATGACGTAATGCTACCTTGTACTATGTATCTAAGGCATGCTTGTATTGCGCTATGTCATATGTAATCGCTCTGTGAAAGTTTGGAATCCCTATCTACTTCCTACGCCACGCTACAGCTAAATTAAGAAAGTGATGCGTTACGTAGAACGTTCCTATCCTCAAAGGGACTGTCCTCTCAGTACTGTGTAAACACACTATTTAGCATATGTAATCGTCCAAGTAGTTCCATTTTTATACCGTTTGGTTCGGCTTCCAAATTGATTTTTGTTGGGGGGGGGGGGGGGGGGGGGAGGAACTCATGTTCATGTTTTGTGTCCGTTTTTGTCCGTTCGGTACCCTATATTTTCAAAACGGACAAAAAGTAGGGCGGTGTCATAGACATTGGGGGTGTGAATCAGTGACATATGGTGAGGCTGCCGCCGCCGCCCGCAGTCCGACCCTGCTCCGCCTCTCCCCCAGGTCTCCGACGTCACGCCGCTGGGCGGCTGCTGCAGCCGCAGCCTGTGGCCGTCCTCGCACTCCAGTCCTACGCCTGATTTCCTCCATCCGTCCGCACATCGTGTACTCGCGGCCGCGGCGCCGCAGCCCCCGGCGCCGGTCGCCGATCAGGTCCGCTCCGCATGCTGGCCGCCCCCCGCCGCCTCCGGCCGCCCAAGTACGACCTCCCTCCGGGCCCTACGCGGGGCTCATCCGCCCTAGTTCTCCTCGCTCTGCTGGTCGCCGCCTCAGGGCGGCCTCCGGTGGGCGTCCGCCGCCTGAGTCGGGCTCTGCGACTGAGGCAGCTGAGCCGCTGTCCGCCGACGGTAGCCGCACCGCACTCCGGTATCCTCCGGGCGCCGAACGCACGCGACGACGCACCGCCGGAAGCCGCATCGACGCCGCCGACGCACGTCCGACGCCGAAGACCGCCACGAATACTACCGAGCAGCAGCCCTTACCCTGTCCCGTCTTCATCCTCCTCCTCCTCCTCCTCCTCCTACCCCTCCTCCTCCTCCTCCTCCTCCTCCTCCTCCTCCGCCTCCTCCTCCTCCTCCTCCTCCTCCTCCTCCTCCTCCTCCTCCTCCTCCTCCTCCTCCTCCTCTTCCTCAGTCCTCCTCCTCCTCAGTTCTCCTCCTCAGTTCTCCTCCTCCTCCTCCTCCTCCTCCTCCTCAGTTCTCCTGAGTCGTCCTCCTCCTCCTCCTCCTCCATCTCATCCCCCTCCTCCTGAGTCCTCCTCCCCCTCCTGAGTCCCCCCTCCTCCTGAGTCCTCCTCTTCCTCTTCAGTCCTGTTCCTCCTCAGTCTTCCTCCTCCTCCTCTTCCTCCTCCTCCTTCTCCTTCTCAGTCCTCAGTCCTCCTCCTCTACAGGGTGTTTCGAGACTCGTGTCCAAATTTAAAATTTTAATTTTTAATTTAATGAAGGAGCAAGATGTCAAGAGTAACGTTGACGAGGGTTTACGATACACTGCCTACACAAAGTGCCTACACAACCTTCTTTCAAAAGTGCTCTTTAAGGTCCTCCTCCTCCTGAGTGATCCTCCTCCTCCTCAGCCCTCCTCCTCCTCCTCCTCCTGTGTCCTCCTCCTCCTCCTGAGTCCTCCTCCTCCTCCTCCTGAGTCCTCCTCCTCCTCCTCCTCAATTCTCCTCCTCAGTTCTCCTCCTCCTCCTCCTCCTGGGTCCTCCTCCTGGGTCCTCCTGAGTCCTCCTCCTCCTCATCAGTCCTCCTCCTCCTGAGTGCTCCTCCTCCCCCTCCTCATTCTCCGCCTCATCAATCCTCCTCCTCCTCCTCCTCCTCCTCCTCCTCCTCCTCCTCCTCCTCCTCCTCCTCCTCCTCCTCCTCCTCCTCCTCCTCCTCCTCCTCCTCCTCCTCCTCCTCCTCCTCCTCCTCCTCCTCCTCCTCCTCAGTTCTCCTCCTCCTCCTGGGTCCTCCTCCTCAGTCCTCCTCAGTCCTCCTCCTCCTCTTGAGTCCTCCTCGTCCTCTTGAGTCCTCTTCCTCCCCTCCTCTTCCTCCTCCTTCTCAGTCCTCAGTCCTCCTCCTCCTCTACAGGGTGTTTCGAGACTCGTGTACAAATTTAAAATTTTAATTTTTAATTTTATGAAGGAGCAAGATGTCAAGAGAAACGTTGACGGCACCATTCGGCCCGAGGGTTTACGATACACTGCCTACACAAAGTGCCTACACAACCTTCTTACAAATGTGCTCTTTAAGGTTTTGTGGCAAGGGGAGGAAATATGTTTTGCCATCATGTGTAGTGAAACGAATCAGAAATCTCTACACATCTCCAGCCGGAAAATACAAAGACTTCTTACCGGGAACAATTAACTCGCAGATTTAGTGCGTTTTAGTGGATGTTTTATGGTTTTAAAGTCTGTTTTTGTCAAATACCGATGTAAAACTTTCTCATACAGACCAGGGGGTAACCAGGGGAAGCGATCCATAAATGGCATCCGTACGGCAAATATAAAGTGGTGTGTAGCGTTTATACACACGTTCGTAAAATTATTCTGTTACACACAATTTTAAGCTTCTTTGTTAACAAAAGTCTCGTGATGTTAAGGAGAATATTTCAACTAATGTTAATGTTCGCTGAGACCTATTGACGGGACAAATTTTCTTATTGTCTTGCTGGTTTGTAGACCAGCCTCATTATAGAGCTAGCTCCGTGAGGCTGTTCACCGCACGTACCAACAATTTATTGCATATTTTTTACACGCTAACCTAACCAGCTGATGGGCATATTGATTATCATGACATTAACGTTATTTATAATGAATCTGGTTACTACATTAAACCCCAACTTAACGTGGAATTTGGACTGTCACAGTTCAAATTTGAATGAGCCGCCCTGTCAGGCTGTCAATACCTATCTAGGAGCTAGTCGGTTCGTAAATGTAAAAACCGCCGGATATATGACTGGTGCCGGGTTCTAATAATGATCATAGTTCCATACCTCTGTAGCTATTCCCACGATAGAAATCCTATCTTCATTCACGGCCGTGATGAATGGATTTCATTCGAAGTCGAA